AAAGATTGTAGGGTCATGAATTTCAAGTGACTTTTATCGGGTTTGTGGTCACTGCTGGACATTTGAATATAAATATCTAGTCATCAGAACAAAATTCTCTACTACTTACCTTTCCAAGTCTCTATTTTCAAAAATTAGCTCCTCTGGTATAAAAAACAGAATCAAAGTCTAGGGCAATCATGGTCAACAGAACATTCTGAAATGATGTAATGGTCAGTAGTTTTACATAAGAAAGCTGGCTGCTAGGCACAGTACCTATAGAACATGTTAATGAAACTTGATTTGTTGAGAATATAGATTTTAAATATTAACCATATTCAAGTTTAGAAAGTACTTGCATAATGACTGACATTTTAAATGGTGAGATTCTTTTTTAGTATTTATGTTTATTTTATGTTTATAAATGTTGGTGTACACGTATGTATTTATGCACACCATATTTGAACACAGTGACCATGGAGGACAGGAGAGAGCATTGGGTCCTATGGAACTGAAGTTACAGGTGGTCTTAAGCCATGATGTAGATTCAGAAAATCAAAACCAGGTTCTCTGCAAGAAGAGCAAAGACTCTTAATCAAGGAGCCATCTTTCTAGTCTCTAGATAGTTTAGTTCCTCAAAGAATCACCAAGTTAATTTTCTCAAGCCTTTTGTGAGTGAAGAAATTCATTAATTCATCTCAATAACATCTCATAAAGCTCTAATTTAAAGGACATTCATTCATTTGCTCAATCCCCTTCTCCCAATTTATGTGTTTTATTTTGTCACTGTTAATAGAGGAAATTAATAAACAAATAATGAATATCTTTGTTCTTTTTTCAGCAAATGGTTGTGAACATGAAGACAGATTTTCTAACTGTGCAGAAGTGAAGGCATCAGTAATGTGTGAAGACCCAATTGTTTTAAAAAACTGCAAAGCTACATATTATTGTGAAGGCAAAATTCATTAAATTTCCGAAACAAATGAAGAGGGCCATGTGAAGAAAGACCACCTCCTCTACTTAGGCTTGTCACATTCCATCAGGAATTTAGAAGTATAGGTACATTCAAATGATTCCAAACAGTAAACATTCCTTTCTTCTGTATTATCTCACTTAGCAGAATTAATTTACATCCAAAGATTTTAAAACACCATAATGAATAATACCTTTGGACCTTGACTTATGAATTGTGTGACACATTTATGGAGTTGAGTCAAGACCAAGGTTATACAGTGTCTGTATGACTAAGGTCACTGAAACTCTGTCCTGAAAATAAGAATCAGGTTCCCAGAGCACAATGGAGTAAAGGAACAGCATATACTTCCACTGTAACTGTCAGTCATCTTTCCTAGCTCTGCCTAGCTAACTATATCTGAAAACAAATCCCCATTAGCTTTCTTTGATTTCTTCCCACCATTTGCTCTTCTTCACATGTGCTGGAATTAGTGCTTCAAATTTTAAACTTCAATTTAGATTTTAGTTGTTGGGTTTTTCAAGCACCATAATAAAGTGAAACTTAATGAACATAATTTGTATGTCCAAGTGAGTGTACTGACATTGATTGTTTCAAAAAAGTTAAATAAATCTTACTATTTGGATATTAATTCTCCCTTAGTATTTGTTTGAACTGGTGATTGGGGGTTTGGTTATTACATGTGGTATTACAATATTTATGATACTATTTACTTAATTTTTATTTACATTAAGGTTCATAGCCTTCACAAGAGTTTGTACTAATCAGTACACACTTCAATTAATAAGTAATAGTGTAGTCCAGTTTGATAAATATTCCTGACCCTACCCTGGCATATCCCACCTCCAGGCCTAGCTCAGATCATATATTCACTATGCTCACTTAGACTGGTGAGTCCAATAGACCCTAGATCACCTGTATAATCCCAAATGTAAGATATCCTGTGTGCTGGTATAACTCTGAGACACCCTAGAATCTAACATCAGGTATACAACCAATGAAAGAATTCCACATATCCTGGTCTTATTGCTAAAACACAGTATGTACAGCCCCAGTGGTGTGACCCCATCCCCCCAAATCCACTACAGTTACAGAAATGTTTTACAATGAGAATGAACCTCAGGACACAAAATCTTTAAAAAATTGTAAAATTTTATCACGGAAATTGAAGATTTAAGGAAGACATGAACAAGCATCTCAACTTAAAATAGTGCCTAATAAAATAGTGCCTAAGTGATGTCTAGTATAACATATGAAATGGTGAAGACAATCCAGAATTTGAAATCCATATTTAGGAAGAGAAAGAAATATTAAAGGGAACTCTAGTTGAAACGAAGATGGAATTGAAAAGTCACCAAAGCTCAGGGAAAGGAATGGATGGAATAGATGATAGAATATCAGGACTTAAAGAAAAGTCAAAACAACTGAGCCATTCAAGCAAAGAATATAAAACATTAAACAGTCACTTACAGGAAAGCAACATGTTAAAGTGTGGTGTGCCATGAAAACACCA